GGTCTGCAAAAGGCCAGGCTTGCGAGGAGAAAGGGGCTGGTGGTGGCTGCTGTGGCCACCCCACTCTGCTTTGGCCTCATCTCTCATGCCTGAGGAGCAGAGCTTTGCCCAGAGATCATGTCCTGTGGTCAGGAGTGTCCCCTCACAATCTCATCACATCGGTGACAGCTTCCCCTCACATGTCCTGTGGATGGTGATCTTGTCAGCAGGAGCTAGCCACATCACTCCCTTCATCTCCTGCCCCTAGTGTTTCACTAGGAGGTGCTGATCTGTTACGATCCTGTTAAGAAAGGTACTCAGATTCCATAAAGTATCATTTTAAATGCCATTTTCTAGATCCAAAACTATGAAAAATGAGAAGACAGCACAGATAGTCTTCTGTCCCTTCAGGTGCTGGGAATCCCGGATCTTGCAGCATCAAACAGATCTCTGATCAGGGCAGATCCTCTCCATGGAAAGGTTACCCCATTATTGTCATTAGAGTTATTACAGGATTTTCCTTAAAAAAGAAAAAAACTCATTCTACTGTCAAACAAAAAGGATGTTCTCATGAGAACCGTCGCAGCAGTCTTAGATAAAGGCAAGGACAGGCAGGTGGTGTAATTGCCAGCAAGCAGTGGGAGCTGCCTGCAGGCTCTTCTCTTACTGTCTACCAGACAGGTTTATCCCATGGCCAAGGGAGATGCACAGCATGGCACAACGCAGTATGGCACGGCACAGGCCTGGGACTACTCAGGTTGAGCGTTTTGTGGATCACTAGCTCCCTGATGTGTGATGGTCTTCTGGTCAGGATCTTTACACTCCTGTCCTCCAGCTTCAGCTCGCCGTGCCAGGGTCTTCTGGGTGTTGCTGTGTGAAGCTGGTGGTGGAAGACTTCCCCTGGCTCTCTGCTGTTCCTTCGCTGTCCATATGGCTGTATCACCAAGGGGATGGCGGGGGAGAGATTTGGCAGGGCAAGAGGAAAGCAGAAAGATGAGAATGAGTGAGATGAGTCAGGGACCATCAACAACAGGGATGAACCAGCAGAAACCCCTCGGAAGACCCTGACAGTCCCGTGGCCTTAATATTCCTTCTTCTTCCCATCATTCCTCAGGTGCAAAACCACTCTTGGTCATGACCATCCCTTCCCCTAACCCCCAGGCTTCATCATACACCTGCTCCCTGCTGTGGGATACCAACAGCATCCCCTCAACGGCAGCCGGTGAGGCAGAGCACAGGCCTTGTCTCAACTTGCTGTGTGAAACCACAAGTATTCAGATACAGAACAGCACGAGGGCTTTGCCCACTGCCTGTAATCACATCCCCAACATGCACGTGTCTCCTCTGAGGTTACGTTTTGTGGGGTACACAGTGCTGCAAATGTGCTTTTATCTGCAAGTGGTTCCTGTTACACAATCTCATTCTTTCACATCACAGGGACTGGCATTCTTGTGGCTTATTTTCTCTCCCTCCTTCATGTGTTTTCCATCTTTTGAATACCTCTTCTTGGCAGTTATTGCCTGTGTTTGTCATCCACAAGACTGATGTCCTCCAAGGATTTCCTTTTGATTTCATGTGGTGAACGCACGGTAATGAACAAGGTCCACAGTCTCTCCAGGGGGTCCAGCCTGGAATTGGGGCCAGTGATAGACTTGAAACAAGGCTAAAGCATAGGCTCAGGGTCCATCTATGAGAGGAGAATGGAGACAAGTCTTCAGACAGGCGCAACCCCTGCATTGCTCCAGCAAAGCCTGGTTGGCCAGACCTGACCTAACTGGAGCCCCTGGTCCCATGGGTAGGGGATGAACGGGTGAGGTCAGGGCAAGTAAGGCCTGCTGTTGCCCTCAGGACCCTGGAAGAGAGAATCAGAGTCCCTCACATGGACAGTGGAGTGTGCTATGTTGTTCAGTCATTCTGCACCTGCACTGTGAAAAACATTTCCCTTGACCGATTTCTTCTATGGCTTCGTGGCACCAAATTTCTCACAAGCATTATGTTCCAACACACCCTTCATACACTTCCCACTTTGTACATGAACCAGCCAGCCAGCATTGTCCCTTATTGGCACGGTGCTCCTCTCTCTTCCTTCACCTCCAGGCAGAATACATTGCTTGCCCTTGGCTTTGTTGGGGCTTTCTCTTATGGTTTTGGGGCTACAGCTACTTGCAGTCTCTGTATGGGGGCAAAGTGCCCCCAGGGAAAGCAGGAGGAAGTCCTAGACCACGAGGTACACACAGCAAAAGCCAGAACCTCCTCTCCTGGTGAGACAAAGCTGGAGGACAGCAGGAGAAGACAAAGGGGGTCACATGGTCAGCGACTGCTGACAAGATCACCATCCACAAGACATGTGAGGGGAAGCTGTCACCGATGTGATGAGATTGTGAGGGGACACTCCTGACCACGAGGCGTGATCTCTGGGCAAAGCTCTGCTCCTGTGGCACAAGGGACAAGGCCAAAGCAGAGTGGGGTGGCCACAGCAGCCACCACCAGCCCCTTTCTCCTAGCAAGCCTGGCCTTTTGTAGACCCTGTGTGCTGGGGCTCCTGCAGCAGTACTGTTCCGAGGAGCACCAGGAGGTAGGAGGCCAGGGATGTGCGGGTGGGAGATGCCTCCTGTCCATGGACAGGGCTGGAGGGGTGGGAGCCTGTCCTGGGCACAGCAGGCAACTATCAGATGGTTTAAGCACTGCGAATTTTCTCATTTTCTCTTTATTCCCATGGCTTTCCAACCTTTCACTGTTCATCAAACTCCAATGTGTCTCGCAGAGACAACACCCAGGGGTGCTCTATGTTGCTGTCCTGCTCAGTACGATCTTCCTGTTCATCTCTGGGTTTCCTCCCAGTGTGGCAATTTTCCTTCATCCTATTGATTCAAACCTGGTTTACCTTGATATTTTTTTACCTGCTGGCTTCACTGAACTGCAGCATCAACCCATTCATTTACTTTCTGGTGGGGGGTTGGCGGCAGCGTCGGTTCCAAGGCTTGGTGAAAGTCTCCTGCTGCTGAATGTTTGAAGAGAAAGCAGTGAATGAGGAGAGCTGTGTGCCTGGGGACACTGCGATGGAGACCACTCTGTAAGCTGCTGCTGGTGAGGAGGTTTGGAGATGTGGAGCCTTGCAGACAGCCAGAAGGATGGAGGCATGGGGGCTCATGGCACAAACTCGGTGCAGCATTGCCAGGCTCGGTGCCTGTGCATGGGCTGTACTCCCCACTGCAATAACCCTCATTGCTCTGGCCCCTGTGAATAAACTCTGACTCCTTTGGCTCAGCAGACGAGTTTTGTGGTGTTCTGAGGGATCTCTTGCCTGGGGAAAGTCTGATACGTTAGGCCCTGGGTGAGGTCTGGGCATCTCTGTTGTCCAAGCAAGGAAGGACTCTTCAAAAAGGATTGCAAAAATGGGCAAACCGAGGGGGTCGTGCAGGTGTCTCGCCGGCACCGCTGCACCCGTGCTGGAGATCAGCGGGGGGGGGGGGGGGTTGGCTGCCGTGGGAAGCAGCCGTGTGGCTCGTCCACAGGGCATCGCAGCCCCTTCCTCACCCTGGGTCCCTCGCCACGGAGACACAGCGACGTGCCTCGACACCCTGATGGGAGGTGGAGGGTGAGGACTCTCAGGAGAGCCACTTGCTCCTGGAAGCCGAGCAGGACACCCTCGTGAAGAGAGGCTAGCTGGCAGCTCTAACCCCCACTGAAATCCCCCTCCCAGCCCAGCTGAGCCCCTCTGCTTCTCCGGGGCTGTGCGGACCCCCCTGCGCAGAAGCCCCAGGCCCCACTGCTCACCCACACGCGGGCTCGGGGGGCTGCGGGGACACATCCAGTGCGGGGACACATCCAGCGCGGGGCCAGCGCTGATTTCACAAATGTGATGCCTCTAGATGGCAGGAGAGGAGTACGGATTGCAAGGAGCATCCTCGATCAGCATCCTCAATCGTCTCTAAAGGGTGGGTCAGCAGAGCCAGCCTTGCACCTCCAGCTGATGGAAAGAGAAGCAAACCAACATCAGGTTGGGCTGCAGAGCTGGGGAAGAAACAAGAGCGTTCTCTTAAAGTGAGAATTTGTCACACTGTTTAATTCCAGGTTAAATCGTTCTGAGAAAAACATGGGTTCGATAGTGCCAGCGGACTACGCGTGGCACGTCCCTGGTGCTCATGTTCTTGCCAAGAAGTTCACACAAGGTGCTGCTTTCCGGCCGTGCTCTGGGGGAACACAGCTCGTTGCAACAGACTACGACTGGCTGTCGAGACGTCGCATCCTGGAGGTTGTCACCTCTCTGCTGTGGTGCCTCAGGGAGTGGACAGCACAGTAAGCATCCCTGTGAGGGGACAGGGAATCTTCTCCAGACCTGCTCTTATCAGTCCCCACAGGAAAACCAGGAATGGATTTTAAGACGTGTTTCACTTTTCAATATCCCCACAAAAGTTTTGTCCACAGGGACAAAAGCATCGCAAAGGAGGTTTCAGACTCTTGCCTTACTTCAGCCAAGGCTATGGCACCTTGTCCTCCAAACTTGGAAGAGGAGATGAGGAGAGCTACGTTGCCAGAAAAGGCACCGAATTTGCAAAGGAAATATTTCAAGGTGAAGAGTGAGATAACACGGTGCAACTCAGCGTGTCTAATGCTGAAGATCACCTCTCTGATGCCATGGAGAAGCGCAGCAGGCTGAGACGAGAACCCGCTCTGGCACAGCTCACCAAACACTCCCCAGACACGGCTCCAAGCCATGCCATGAAGCACGGCAGGGGATTACCAGCTCGATGGTCTTGGCAAGTCAGAGAGACTAACTCCTGTATTGTCTTTGCTCACAGCAAAAGTGTCATAGTAACTCCACCGAACACACCTCTGTGTCCATGACCTAAAAAAAGCCTGAAATATGGAAATTAACATAACCAGATGTATGGGCCACTTAATTTTCTAGAAATTAGGAGCATCATGCTGCTCATCTGCTTGTGCAGGCTGGCAGCGAATGGGGCTATCCTTTGTTCCCCCAGCCTCAGCATGGGGAGGAAGCCCTTCGCTGCCTCCGCCCTGAACCTGGCCTTTCTTCGAGGAGCTGAGGAGCTCCTCTGCACAGCTGTTTCAATGGCTGACCATACACTCCAAAGTCCTGACTGTACCCATCTTTTTCTAGTTACCTACTTAAGGCGTCATTTTGTTACTACTCCTAAATTAAATCTGGATTTGTTTGTTTGTTTGTTTCCAAGGTGGTAACTCTGACCCCAAAGTTTGTTGGATACACACCAGCTGAGCTTCACTGCACGGTTTGTCGCTGGTGAACAGAGCAAGGCTGGCTCAAGCCTGTCAGAAAATGGCTCATTTCCTCTCTAAAGCCTCTGTCTTGTCTGTGAGGAGGACAGGTACCTCCAGAGCATGATGCACCTCATCCTAGGGGAGGTGCCTGCAATAGCTGGGATGAGGCAGCTGTTGACAACGCCAAGACCTCCTCGTTCGTTCTGGGCGGGACCTGGTTAGCAGAGGACGTCTCTCTGGGATGTTTGCAGTTAGCAGAAATGTATCTCACTGTAAGAAGCCTCCAGCAGAGCCAAACCATGGCAGTGGAGCTGCCCACACATGCTGAAAGCTTTCCTTGTCTACAGCTGAGCACACCAGGAGAGCACCTCCTCGTAGGATGGAGGGCTGAAGCTGGCTGAGGCAGGCAGAGGTGGAAGGGCAGAGGGAAAGACCAGAAGGAAAGGGCCTCACTGCATCCCAGCAACTGGGAGACTGCTGGGAAAAGCGGGGAGGGGGGACACAGCCTGACAGGGGAGATCGTCCCACCTGCAGATGTCAGGAACGCCTGTGCCCACCCACCCGTTTCCCTGCCTCTTACACAGCGGGACGTTGTCCGTCCTTTTCCCACTGCTGTAAATCCAAGGGTAACTGAGGTGCCACTGCTTTTAGAAAGAGAAGCGAGAATATAACCCATGGGTGGTGAGTCATGCTTTGGAGACACATGATGAGTTTAAACATCTAAGAAACATTTATTAACAGAGTTCTTTTACAGAACAAGGCAGGAGTCTCCCACAGCTGAGAGGGGTTTTTTCTCCCTCTCTCCCATCTTCATGTCCTTTGGAAAGTAAAAGCTTTCTGAGTTAGAACCTGTTGTCCAGGAGAGGGCTCCCAGCATGGAGGGAGTGTCTCCCAAGGCAGGTGAAGAAGAACCACGAGATCCTCCCGTGTACTTTTCCTGCTTCCCAGGATCTCCCTTGCCTGCAGAGTCACCTAGGCCACCACCTATATGAGCTGCTTGTTTTTACCAGAGAGTTTTACTGGTTTAGTTATCGTGGCTCTGTACCTGCACTGCGCCAAGTGATCGATTTTCCTTCCTGCTCTGGGCTGAGGGACGAGCCGAATGGTTTGTTGGTGGCTCAGTTCACAGGCAAATGAGAGCTGGTGTAGCCCCCAGCTGCTTCATAGCAAGGGCTGACAGACATGGAGGGGAGAGAGGAGCAGAGAAAACGCTGCCACTACCCCTTTTACCCAGCGAGTGCCTGAGCCAGGCTACAGGGACTCAGTCCTCATGGCCTTAACGGGGTCTTTGCCATTAAAAGTCCACCACAAGAGAGAACTTCTTCACTCTGAAGGTGACGGAGCCCTGGCCCAGGCTGCCCAGAGGGGCTGTGGAGTCTCCTTCTCTGGAGAT